TTAAAATTAGAATTAAAATTAGAATTAAAATTAGAATATATCTCAAAAACAATATCAAATAAGAGAGACCGGAATGTGGCTTCTAGTGTACCTCTGGGACTCAATAAGTCCTTGTGTATGTTATGTTTTAAAATACTTTTCGGCAGAAAATATCAGTTTAAAAACATTAGTCTCACACTGTCGTGCTATTGACCCGTGTCATATTTTGAAACCACAAATGTTTTGTTGTCGTTCACCCAATTACAGTCACCGAACAGTTTTTGAAAACCAACAAGTCCTAATTAATCCTAAAGCGTTGTCGCTGTTTTTAGAAGTTAACATTTGATTTCTACTATCTGGCACTAGTCTCACACTGTCGTGCTATTGACCTGAGCCTTAGTGTTTTTGCTCTCGCGTAAAACATTTTGTTCTTAATACTAAAAATCGAAACCAGAAAATAATCTTATATAAAAGTTACGCCGATTCACTTTTCCGAGTCCTGTCGGAACGACGGTCCTCACATACCGGACTCAATAAATTTAGCTAGACATAACATGCATACAACTCATGTTATTATTATTAGACATAAAATTCATAAACATGATAGAGATGATATATAAGTCAGTTATACTTAGATTTAGCAACACAAGCATACAAGCACAGGTTCAAGTGCACAATTACTAACTAATAATGAAAGCGTATAAAACTTACGAGAATTGAAACAATGCAGGAAAATAAATGTGAAAGACTTGAGTAAAGGAAAACTTCTTGAATAACTATGGCGGCAAGATTAACTTCAATGGTCCAAGTAATACAAATAGTTTTAAATAGCAGTGTATTAACCCCTCGATGTGAATGATTAGTCTTTTTACGGTAAAGTATATGCCTAAACAAAAATTAGGAAACTTAGATACCTAAAATTCTCAAAACCTAAGCTATATATAGTAAAATGCCTTGAAACTGAATTGCAATTTGTGGGCAGGGAAGTTGAGAAGATCATGGGAAGAGTTGGAAAAGAATTTGTCGGACAGTTGTTGACTTTCTGGGTGCGCGCATCGTGGCGAACGCCACAGGTCATGGCGAATGCCACCCTCCTGAAAAGTAAAAAGACTTGGTCAACAAGCCCATGGTGAACGCCACCAAGCCATTGCGAACTCCATGAGCACAGTTTTCATCCTTTATAGGCTTTCCTTTGTGATTTTTGGACTTTTTCTCCACTTTTGCTCATTTTTGCTCATATTCTCTTACATCAACCTCAACTTAGCATAAACCTGCAACACATGAAGACTAACAGCATAACACCATATAAAAGTATAAAACATATGAAATATACATGCGAATCGAGTTAAAAATAATTGTGTGTTTCAGTGTTATCAATTATCAATTATTTACAATAATATAACATTCTTTTTTTATGTGGACTGACATAATATTATTTTTAACGCTAAATTAACAAGCCACGTCCATTAGGTCAATTTTGATATCAATCTTATGCTTCAATCAACACTTGAAAAAGTCATGATAATCATGCTAGTTACTATAACAAATAGTAGAACTTATGAGCATCAAAGCAAAGAACAGGCATATGCTTGCACACACACAACCTCTTTTCCCAACAAAAGACTACAAAAGGAACATTTTTTTCATAAACAAAAAGGAATGTAATAACAAAGTGACATTTTATTTTATATAGATAAATAAGTAGCAAATGGTTAATTTGTAGTAAAAGTAGAGCTCCACCTTCTTCTTTTGTTACCAATCTTGGAACTTGTTTTGAATCTTAATTTTATTCTGAAAAGACATATAATAGGAATGTATATAGCCTTAAACATTTATGGTAGGGTGGAGTGCCTTTAATTATGCGCCATGTTCCTTAAGATTCTTCCAACAAACTTAAAATATAGAAACCATGACGGAAAGAAAAAGGAATCACAACCCATAAACAGAAAATTGAATTTTGAGTTCATGCAATTAAGGAAGATTCTCTACGCAAGTCTTTCAACACAAATTTCTCCACGTCCATGCTACTATATAAATTGTCATATTCTCTTAAAAATAATTTATATTTATTACCTTATATGCTAAAGAACATGGTAAATGTGGAGTTTCAAAAGCATTTCTTAGAATTTCTTTCCTTTTATATAATGTATATGATTTGTTTTAGTAGTATTGTATGTAGTTTAATGAATGGCCAGAGGGTGACAACTTGCAATAAATGGACCCTACATACTGTATTTAGATTTTAGACACATAATGCTTTTTCTGAGCTGGGAACAAAACTTGGTTTTATTGGTTGGAAAATTCATTCATCAGGTTTACAGCCAATCAAGAACTGATTCCAAGTGACACGTCATGGGCATCAATTCAGTGTTTATTGGAACAGTTATATGCTTAAAAAATGTAAACATACTAAATTATTATTATAATAATAAACAAAGTATATATAGTATTAAACAAATTATTTTTTAAAAGTATTCTATATTCATGGTTATAAATAAATATGAACATAATTAATTAATAATCAATTGAATATAGTTAATCATATTTTTGAGAGGTGGGGCCTCTACATTGTTTGATTTTAAGGGTTTTCGAGTTGTTTTAGGGTTTGGGTTTTGAAAAATAGACATCATCAATATTGACCGTCAATTTTAGTGATTAGGATAATTTAAAAAATGTGAAGTAAAATTATTTTTATATTAGGAACGTTTGACGGTTAATCATTAAATGTTTTTAATTATTAGTTTGGTAAAAAAAGTGGTTTTAAGTCTATACTTCGAATCTTATCAATTATTTGATTGATTAGAAGCGAGATCTGCTTAAGTGGCTAAATAGTTAGAGTGTGTTGGGTGATTAGCTGTTCTCTTTTTATACTTTGGCCTTAGTGTATTTTTTTCATTTTTCTATCGGTGTTTGATATTGTCTTCTTCTAATCTGCTCTTTCTGAAAGTTTGTCCGGTTGAAAGTTGTTTTTTCTGTGTGTCTTAATTTTTTATTGTTCTTTTGATGTGTTTGTTTGATTTTCTTTTGTTTGTCGCTTTTTCTTTTAACTTTTCTATTTATTTCTAGCTTGTCTGTTTTCAAAAGTTATAGTCCTTACATATTTTTAATGTTCTTAGACATTCTTAAATTTTGTATTAATTTTTTTTCTTCTAATTAATATATGACTTCTTCTTTGCTATTAAGAAAACAAAATGTATGTTTAGATAACTAAAAAATATTTATACTTTGAACATGAATAAATGTCAACTAAAAATTATGATTAATTACATTAAATAAATTATTAGTGAATTTTGTGAGACAACTCTTTTTTATAAACATTTTGCTATATCATTAATATAATTAATTAGATACTTACATTTTATTAACCATTTAAGTTATACTATATATTTAAAAGTTAAATTTTAAATTTTGTCTTAATCATACAATCGTTTAAATATAGGATTAAATATGTTTGTGGTTCTTTTAAATATTTTAAATTTCATTTTTAATTTTTCGAAATTTCTTTTTCAAAGAACGATCCTCTTAAAATTTTGCATCCTCACTTTTGGTCTCTTCTGCAATTTAGCAACGATTTTTACAACTTAATGATTGAATTAATGACGGATTTTACAACTTAACGACCGAATTAGCAACGATTTCTTACTTAAGGACTAAATTAGTGACATTTTTAACGATAGTTTTAGTATTAAGGACCAATAATATAGATACAATTTTTTGAAGAATCGTTCTTTAAAAAAAAATATTTTAAAAAACTAAAAACCAAAATTTAAAAATTTAAAAAGACCAAAAATATACTACTAATTAAAAATTCATTTTCTAACTGGTGTTGGAGTAAACTATATATGTTAAAAGAAATCAATCTCTTAAATTAAGAATACGTTTTACTTCATGAATAATCTCCACAATAGTGTGTAATATATCCTATTTAAGAAGAAAGTCATATGATATTCAGCTATAACTTCTCAATAAAAAAATCATTCTTTAAAAAAAAAATCAATTTCATAAGTTTTCATCTATTTGTTATAAATTTTTAACAATAAAAATATTTTAAAAATATAACTGTTTCAAATGTGATTCATTTTTGAATAAAAAATTATTTTTGAAAAATTATTTTAATAAATGTAATTGTTTCAAATTAAATAAATGATTATCTTAAAAATTATTTATGATAAAAACATAAAATAATTTTGGATCAATATTCATTAATGTATCAAAAAATAATTTAAAAGGAAAACTCTTACTATTTTAATTTAAAAAAAATTATAATAATAAGCTATTAAAAAATGTTATATATTATATTTTACATCAAATTTATTAGTGCTTTTATAATATTAATAAAATATATAACTTATAATTTAAATATCCAAAAACCTATCTCAATTAAACTGTATAAATTTTTTTTGGATCAAATTAATTTTTTTAATTGATTATCTAAAACTAAAGCGAACCATGAATTAGTTTATATTTAAATTAGATAAATTTTTGTCTGAAAACTGATCCAAACTGCAAACATGCCAATAACTTATATTTTTCTTTAAAAGTCTCTAAAAAATGTATAAATTATATAACTTCAAAGTCACTTTTCTTATAATCTATTACAAATGGTTCATTAAACTTATTAAAATGTTGCTAGAATTATTCCCATTTCCCACGTGTACGTGTAGGGGAAAGAGAGAAAGAGGAAACTGGGTTGGATTTGTCATGTAACATGATTTCAGCAAAAACATTCCTAAGAGACTAGCTAGTTGAAGTTAACCATATCAAGAATCAAAAGTGGTGGAAACACCTCAACCTTATATATTATTTTATTTTTACTTTTTTACACTCCATTCACAAGTATATAATCTCTATATTTAATTAAACTATCTGTTTCAATTAATATAACCTAAAAGATACTTTTAAGCCAATATAAATATGGACCTTAACATAACTCATTTTCTCAACAACAACAACAAGAATTATCTGAGTTGTACTCTTAAGTTCCACTAACCTTTCTTTTCTCTTTTCCACTCTTTTCTAAAATGGCAAGAATGGCTCAAGAACCACTCATTGTTGGTAGAGTGATAGGTGAAGTTCTTGATTCCTTTACCACAAGCATGAAAATGACTGTAAGTTACAACAAGAAACAAGTCTTCAATGGCCATGAGTTTTTCCCTTCCACCATCAACACCAAACCCAAAGTTGAGATTGATGGTCCTGACATGAGATCCTTCTACACACTGGTATATATATCTATGTATATCTATATATCTCAAATTCTCTTTATTTAACAAAAATAAACATGAACAGTTAATTCAATGTTTTTGTTATTTGACCTAATATGTTTATATTATTGTCTTCCATTTATGTTTTTAGGTGATGACAGACCCTGATGTTCCTGGCCCTAGTGATCCTTATCTCAGAGAACACTTGCACTGGTAAATATAATATAATCAAATTATAGCTATAAATTAATTTTCTTTGATTCAATTTTTATTTATTTATTGCAGGATTGTGACAGATATTCCAGGAACAACAGATGCTACATTCGGTAGGTTATTTTATTGGTTGAAAAATGTATATATATGGATATATAGATATAGATGATGAGAGAGAATGACATATTGAAATTTTTTATAGGGAAAGAGATAGTTAGCTATGAAATTCCAAAGCCAAATATAGGAATACACAGGTTTGTGTTTGTTCTATTCAAACAAAAAGCCAGAGATTCAGTGCGAACAACACCCTCTTCAAGAGACCATTTCAACACTCGTAACTTTGCTTCACAGAACGATCTTGGTCTTCCTGTTGCTGCTGTTTACTTCAATGCTCAGAGAGAAACCGCTGCAAGAAGACGCTAGTTTAATTAAATAGTTTATTAATTATAATAAATAAAGTGATTATTAGTAATATATAGTATGCATGCTATAAACCTAGTTTGGTCTGTTTTTCACGTACTTGTGTTGCAGAAAGGGAATCATTTTCTGTGTGTTGTTAGTTACTGTCCATTGGATATATATATTATTGTACTGTGTCTTTCTTATGTGTCGTGTCGTCTGTGTATCAAAGTAGTAATCTTTTATCTTGTTATATTATACATTTCAAGAAATAAGAGAGGTTGATGTTTTCTTTTTATTATTATATACTTTGGTTAGGGTTTGGTTTATATATAGTTATTGGTTTTCAGTAACTATATTATATATATGCAAGTTTTACAAGTGATTAACAAACTGGAAAAAGAATTAAATATATAGTTATGGGATTACTGTCATAATGGGAGAGTGATTAACAATATAGATAAATAACTATAGAAAGATTATTTCTCCTAAAAAAAAAACAAATATCATGTGTATTAAGTTAATGGAAAATAGAAGGTTGAAATTACATTCTATATTTGTACATGCTCTCTCGTTTAGGAAAGTAAAACTAAGTGGTTGGGATTAAGTTTTGATGAGTTTTAACTTTGAATCAATTTGCAATTTCAATAATGTATAGTGTACATGTAGTTGAAAAATTGATATGTGTGATCAAAAATTCAATATATGTAGTACAAATTCAACAAGTTTTCAACTAATTTTTTTTATTTTTATAATCAAATATATTCTATGGAGTATTAGAGAAACTCTAATCCATTTACAAGATGATATCACTTATTAAAACTATTAATTACAGAAAATCAGTTGGATTTTTAAACCAATCATAATAATTACAATAAGGTTTAATCTCCTTCTAAAAAACATACACCGCTCTAAAAAAATAATGATCCTATCAACAATTATATAGGATCCCCGATTGCATTATAACATATGCTTTATAAAAAAAAAAAATTCTCCCTAAATATGGAGGGTTATTCTTCCTTAATGTTGCTAAATTAGAGAAATAGATTTTTTATTATAAAAAATTTCTCCCTAAAAATAAAGGATTATATTTCTTTAATTGACTTTGAAAAACAATTAAATGTCTTTGAAAAATTGAACATCATAACAAGTTTGATTTAATTAAAAAAAGAAAATCGATAAGCGGCGACTCAATATCAAAAACTTTTAATTTATAATAAATAATTTAACTAAATAAATGATTAAAATTCTTTTTTTAAAAGCAAATCGCATATATAAAAATTAAAAATGAAAAGCGAAATATCAGACACAAAAAATACCAAAACGCCACATTAAAAAAATAATCAAACTCTAATAAAATATAAGCCAACTATAAAAACAATACAACACTAAAAAAATAAATACTATTAAACATAGTAAAATAGAGCTATAGTTTTCTAACTAAGGACCTATAAGACAAACAAATTTATCATGTAAATTGGGATCTTAAAGCGGAGAAGAACACATATTTATGAGCGTGAGAGGGTTTAATTGATGACATTCTCTTGGTTATTAGCAAATTCACTCCTTCAACTCAGGTCGATAAGTGGTGATGGCGTCATTCCTAAATACGATGGTTATTTTATATCACCTTATATCCACCTCCTTTTTATCGAGCTTTTTATAATTATCCAGGACCTATACGTAGAATGCGTTCTCCCTTTTGTTAGGAGTAGTTAGACTCCTTTCAAAATGAGTGTTTTCACTCGACAATTGTTTCATGACTATATCCTTACTAGAGAAAGCATAATTAAGAGGGGAATCTCACCGGTTTCGAGAGAAGTTCTTTGTCATTTCTATTCGGTGACTTCTGAGTCATCCTCCCATCTCTTTGTAACTTGTGAGATGACGGTTTCAATCCGATATAGGATCTTTTATTGATTGGAATGAGTTATGATTTTTCTTAGAGACCTTGTTATCCTTTTTTCAGTTGCTCTTACATATTTGTAGTCTGTTCAGGATTAGAGGGTTGGCTCATGTTTTGGTATGCTATAATTTATGTGATTTAAAAATCTATGAATAATATAGTGTTCTTGGGTAAACAAGTGACTTTGAAAGATGGGTAGGATGGCTTGAACATTCTCTTAATGGCGAAATGTTATCTTAGTAGGTACATGGATACGTATTAGGAAGATCTTAAAGTTCCATATTGGTTGGAGATAGAGCATTGAAATAGTTTATATAGAGTGACACCACTCACCTTACCAACCAGTTTTGTAGGGTTGTGTTAGGTCAAACTCTAATATGGTATCAGAGCCTATCGATCGGACCTTGGGCAACCCACCGTTTAAATCCACGCACCAAGCCCAAAAAGAGTGCTAGACGTGAGGGGGTGTATTAGGAAGATCTTAAAGTCTCACATTGGTTGGAGATAGAGCATTGAAATAGTTTATATAGAGTAGCACCCCTCACCTTACCAACCGGTTTTGTAAGGTTGTGTTAGGCCAAACTCTAATAATGGGTAGCTCATGTGCTTTCTCAATTTGGTTCGAGAATCCTATCATGCATCTGAATCGATAGCATCACGAGTGTTGGCGCCCTTCCTTTTGTGTGTTCTTGATGGTTAGGGAGAGATATGTGTTTGTCTATTAGGTCCTTATTTGGGGAACTTTATCTTTATGTTTGGTGATCTCTTTCTATATGTCTTTCGAGTGTTTTTATTATTATTTTTACAATTTGATTATTTTATTAGTTGTTGCTTGCTTGTTTTTTAGTGTTGACGTCTTGATACCTCTTATGTATGATATTAGTGTCTCGTTGTTCACTTTTGACCTTTAATGTCTTCTTTTATATATATAATGTCTTGATACCTTTTATATTTTTTTCTTTCAACAAAAATTTGATCATCTTTTTAGTTAAATTATTCATTATATATTAAAAGTCATTTTAAATTATATTTGAATTAAAATCAAACTTTATTATTATGTTGAATTTTTCAATGACGTCTAATTGTTTTTCAAATCATGTATGACATTTGGATTTTTTTTATACAACAAGGAAATATAATCCTCAATTTTTAGAGAGAATTTTTTTTATAATATAAAATTTATTTCTCTAATTTAGAAACATTAAGTAAAGACAACCCTCCATATTTAGGGAGAATTTGTTTTATAATATAAAATTCATTTCTGTAATTTGTAAAAACTATAAAAGATACCATCTCTGTGTTTTTATAATTAAGAGACCCTTGAATAAACAAAAATTAATATATTTTATTCAATATATACATTAACATTTATTGATTCAAATATTTTTTATGAAAAAGATCATAGAACTACTAAATATAAATTTTAAATAAACTCCATAAAAACCTTCAAATCATTTTCATGTTATATAAAATCCTCAAAAACTAAAAATATAATAATAATAAAATTATTCTTATCATTTCCCTCAACACTTTTATATAAAAAACCTAAACCTATCCAACAGAAACATCCTTTCTGCAGACCAAACTGTTAATTGACTAATATCGATTTTGTTTGAAAAGCTAACCATTCATGCATAGAAACGTGGCATTTTAAAGTGTACTTGAATTCTCATTTTCACATACAAAGTACGAACAAACCTTTCTAGATCTAAGAGTATGATAGTAAGTTTACATTTTTAAAAATAATATTATAATAATAATAATAATAATAATAATAATAATAATAATAATAATTGTAATTGTCATCTAGGTTTTAATCTCATCAAATATAGTAGATACTACGTAAAGGTATCGTTCCTCTCTCGTAAAGGTATAACAATAATTTATTATTTTTATTCACACAAAACATCAATAATTTATGAAAGTCATGAATTTAATGCTCTAATATTATATGAATCCACTTGAGATGTTTTTCAAATTACTCACTCCAACGAGCCTGGATTTGAATGATTATTTTCTCATGTGAAACTAGACTTATGTTATTACATTTCTAGAAAATAAAAAGAATTTGACAAAAATTACACACACTAAAGAATTAATAAATGTCCTCGAAAATTATAACCATTGAAATATATTATTTTAACACTTTTGTTATTTAAAAACTTTTGTTGCTATTCGCTTGGCTGACAATACACTCAAATAAATATTTATGTGAAGACAAAATATAGGGTGATCTTTTTTTAAAATATAATATACAGATAAAAAAAAGGCACTGTGTCCAAAGTATTGAAAGAAGGTTGAAGAAAGCACAAGTTGTGCTAAAGCAGCCCAACCAAAATAAAAGAGCGAATAAAATTATATAGTACAATCACCAATACAAAAAACTAAAAACCTTGAAAAACAACGTTACAAAATAGTAAGAGATAGTTAGTAAGGTAACGGATACTAGAAGAAAAAAAACGAGTTAGAACTCCCTTATCAAAGGTTAGAGAAAACAACAAATAAATTCTACTGAAGTAACAAGAACACACTAAAAGGAAGTCGAAGACACTCAAATCGCTATTGGCTTAGATGCTTAATAAGGTTCTCAATGGATGCTGAGAAAGCACAGAATTTTCCACAAACTCCTATCAAGATTCAATTTCTAAGGTAAAATGATACTCAAGTCTTCCACGTCCTGTACAGTTGCTAATTTACCCGAGAACACAATATCATTATGATATTTCTAGACCATAACATGAAAAATCATAAGACACTCACCCTTTAAGCCTAGAAAAACCACCAAGAGAGAAAAATATCAAAAAAAGAGTCATAAGATATATGGGATAAAACTACAAACCAACCTAATCATCTAAAACTCCATACTAAACAGACACCACTACATTACAAGTCACAAAAATGTGGGCAACCGTCTTTAGGATTCTAGAACAAAAATGACACGAGATATTATTCGAACTAAGAAACAAATCCTACAAGAGTTGTTAGGAGAAAATAATTACTTTAGAGAGAACCTAGTCACTCCAGATACTAGAAAGGACCATATCCAATAACAGGACATGTCAATCACTAAAAAAATTATAGGTGAGAAGAAAAGAGTACGCAGAGACCACTGAGTAAG